AACTGTTTCAAAAAAAAAAATTGCACAACTTCTAAAGCAAAGGTGAGGCAGTAAAAATTATTTCAAGTTTCTTGAAATAATTTATACTTGCCAATTCTTAAAATACAAGTTTTCTTTTGATTTTACCAGAGCATGGATTCAGACATCCTAGTCATGCTACAGATTCAAATTTACTGTGTTTTGGGTATTTTCTCTACAAAGAGAATTCAAAGATCAGGGGTTTTTCAAAAAAAAATTGAGTATCAGGTCAAAATTCCATCTGACCAGGTTGCCTAGGACTTCTTCATTAAACAAAGAGATAATTAGCCTAACCTTTTAAAAACTTTCAGTACAGAGGAATCAAAAACAGTTATAAACTTAAAGGTTTATAAACTTACAAGGTTCAAACAAAAACAAATTAGCTAAATTTTATGTTCCAACCATATCCAGTGAATACATAATCCAATTTCTCTTCAAGCTTTGGGACACAATTCTGAGTGGCCATTCAGAATCCTCATCTTGGGTTGCAATGAATGGTATGCATTATGTCTTGACTACCAACTATCTTAAGACACAAGAACCACACAGAAAAAAAGAGCTGCAGGTAGGTAAACTTCTAATATTTTGACATAAAAGCACAGTAGTAAACTAAAAAACATAAAGGTTCTTCAGCATAAATTTCTACCTTTCTGCACCATCCCATACAGTAGCCATCAAATTTTATTTTTAATTAATTTAAATTGAAATAGCAACAGACATGGAACATTTCCCTTACTGCAAAAAGACATACTGCACATAATCCTACATTAAAACCAGGAACAAATTTACCTGACCCATTTCCAGTCTTCAACATTTAAATGCAGTGATAGCTCAGACACAAACTATATTTTTACTCACTTCAGTGATAATAGCTCTTGATGGTTGTTTTCCCCAAAGTCTCTAAACTTTTTAAAAAAATTATTTATTATCTGCCCTTAAGTGATGCAATTAATATGCCTCAGAGAGTCTCATGATACAAAGAATAATTTCTTTCTCCTTTTGGAGACTGGAGAACCTACAGGCACCAAATAAAAAACTATTAAAAACAATTACAGCTCATGAAAAAATAAGAACATCATGACCACTGCAGCAAGTGGTTTAAGAAAATAAGCCTTTTTCTTCCTTTTCAGCAAAACCTCAACTAACAAACATAAAGACCTTCTGTAGAGAACTTTTGAAGAGTTAAGTTACGGCTATTCTGGATAATGACAAATTCCTGCACTGAAAGAATAAGGCACTGAAAAATACTCAACTCCATGTAAACGAAACATCCAACCTCACTTTTAGTGCTGTTTTCTCTAAGAAAGAGTATTAGTTTCTTCCAATTTCATTCCTTGTTTTGAAACAGGGTCATGCTATGTGGTACAGGCGGTCCTTGAACTCATTACAAGGCCCAGGCTGGGCTCAAACTTGCAATGATTCTCCTGCCTCTGCCTCCCAAGTGCTAGGATTACTGGCATACATCATCACATTTGGTTACTTCATTTCCTCTTAATATCTCCACTGCTCACTCACTTCATCATTTTCTGATGGAAAATAGCAGAAGGATCCAAACACCTAATTTTGAGCAGTTGTTTAGTTTTTATTTCCAGGTACTCTGTTCCAAACATTCCCACAGTACTTTGGAAACCTGGAGTAAGCACAACCCAGGATTTCTCAAAAGTAGCACTACTGATATTTGGAGCCAGGTTTTCATTGCAAGACTATCCTGTGCACCATACGATGTAGCAACACCCCTGGCCTATTCACTAGAAGTCAGTATTAGCTGCCTTTACTTCTAACAAACCAGGATGTTTCCAGACACTATCAGAAGGCCCTTGAGGGTGCCAAATAGTTCATCATTCATAATCACTACTCTGACCAAAGGCGCATTCTTGATTACCTCAGTCCTAATTCCTCACACGCACTGGATATTCCTTCATTGAGACCTACTTTCACCAGCCAATATTTATGGACCTCTGAGATAAATCAGGGCTTGAGGGGGAAAACAGGCAAAAGAGATGCCATTCAAGAAGACTTCTTGGGGGATAAATATAAAAATAACTATAATAAAAGATACCCAATGATATAACATTTTGAATTATTTGTTTCCAGTAGAACTTCCATCTTAACAAATTAAAAATACCTTAAGGACAAAGTAACTTGTCCTGGAATACTGATAACTGATTAACACTCAATAAAAAGAAATAATTATAAGCTATTATAACAAAGAAACAATTTCATATGCACAGTGAAAACTCCATAGTTAACTAGGACAAATTAACTTCTCTCAATTACAGTTCCTTTGTAAAATGGGAAGAAAATTATTATTGCCAAGAATAAATTAGAAAATAAATGCACATCTTTTCCACATTCTGACACACAGTAAGCATTCAGTACATGTAAATTAACATTCTTATTATTTTATTAGCAACAAAGCCTCCTTCAACAGGAAGAGTTTACCCTGGACTTTACTTGTTTTTTTGTGGGATTTTTTTTTCTTTTGGAGGCAGAGTCTCACTATGTAGTCTGGACTGGTCTTGAACTCACTTATGTATAGCCCAGGGTGGCCTCAAACTCTCAGTGAGCCTCCTGCCTCTGTCTCCCAAATGCTGGGATTACAGGCATGTACTGCCACATCCAGTTTACCCTGGACTTTAATAAGATACTTCTACATGGCACGAACAGAAATCAACTATCATCCTGTTTTCTGAGGACAAGGATGTCTACCAGTGTCCTGGAAGGAAGAGATAGTCAGGGTGGGGGTCATTCTCACAAATTTACTAATTTCCAATATACTCTTGAAGTTCTCTTAAAAGCTATTTGGGACAGGGATGTAGTCCAGCAACAGAGTGTTTGCCTTGCATATGCAAGACCTTGAGTTCAATTCTAGCAATCCCAAAAAAGAAAAAAAAAAAAAAAAACTTTCTCTGTTTAAACCAGACAGAGCACATGTCTGTAATCTAGCATATGGTGAGGTGGCAGGAACTGCAAGTTTGAACCCTGCTTAGGCAATTTATCCTTCTGTCTTTCCATTTTGTTTTGTTTTGCTTTGCTTTGTTTTTGTTGTCATTTTTTCATTCATTTGTTCTGAGACTGGGTCTTGCTATAGCCCAAGTTGGCCTCAAACTTGTGGTGAACCTTCTCCCTCAACCCCGAGTGCTGGGATTATAGGCACGTACCACCACACCTTGCCAACAAATCCTTTCTCAAAAAAATTTAAAAAAAGGTCTAAGAATGTGACTCATGTGAAGGCCCTGGGTTCAATCTCATGGAGGGAGAGACAAGCAATGACTTTCTACCCAAATGCTTGGGTATGTTTGCATAAACATACTGAAGATCTAAGGAAAATTTAAAACATGCTTAACTTGGCACACATAGGGACTTGAATGTTTATGAGACAGGCACCTTTATAAGAATTTATCTGCTTAATCATTTAGAAATTGTGATTGGAATTTCTATTGTTATAGTAGTAAATAGTATTACATTTAATACAAGGCATTTAAAGTTCAAAAGAAAAAAGGTAAAAATTGTTACATATTTTCAAGTAAAAACATAAAATCATAAGAAAGAGCTGGGTGATAAACAGTTGGGGTGCATGCATAAGCATACGTGTGAATGTGTGTGTGTGACAATTCGAAAATAGGGCCAGGCATGGTGGTGCATGCCTATAATTCCATTTCTCAAGAAGCTGAGGCAAGACGATCACCCCGAGTTCTAGGACATCCTGCACTATACAGCAAGACCCTGTAAAAAATTAGGAAATGGGAGATATTTGGGATCCAAGCAGAAAAGCCATTATGTTGGAAGTGATACACTCCTGGAACTTCCCTCGGTGGCACTAGGAGTTTAACTGAGCAAAAACAGATCTGATACTTCTAATAGGTAGCTGATCACAGTGTGTACCTTGGGCTTCAGGAGCACATGGTTTAAACACAGTGGCTCATGTAATCGTGCCAGCAAACCTAGGGGCAAGTTCTGTTAGTAACTACGTTTTACGGGAGAGAATACTGAGGCAGAAAAGAGATTTGCCTAAAGTCTGGTGGATAAAGTGATCAATCCAGGCACCCTGGCCCCACAATAACACTGCAACCACTGCACTTGATTGTATCCATTCTTACTTCGGACCTGGAAAATTATTTGCATTTTAGAAGGACCCCTTCTCTATCCTCCATCACTGTATTTCAAAGAAGCATCCTTTTAGTTGCCTCCTGTGTGGTGATCCTGAGTCTAAAAAGTAAGGTCAAACTGTCCCTTCCATCTGTAGACCTGACGTAATCCTCATGGAGGAACTTGTATGAGTGGAAACGGAGACAATGTCCCAAACAAGAAAATGAGAACCCTGGAGAATGAGTGAAGTCGCCAAAATTCCCATTGCAGCCTCTTTCCTGCCTTTGCTCTGGCTACTGTGTTAAATTCAAGCCCTCAGAACCTATTACGACTTTGCTTCTCATCTCCTCTCAAGGAGATGCAGAGGATGGCGGCGAGCTAAGGGGTCTACGTGCAGGGAGGCCAGGGTGAAGCCGGGTGTAGACATAAGGGAGCGATACTATCAGCTCGGACCCCGGCGGAGGGTGGAGGACCTGGGGAAGAGGGTAGAGGTGAGAGTCAGTGGAAATCAGGGCCAGCAGCGAGGCCAGTGCGCAGCCGAGGTGCAGTCGGCTAATAGAGGTGCGAGGTGAAGCGGGCTGAAGCTGGACAGAACAACCCCGTCACGAATATCTGGGCTGATCTGAGAAAGGAAGCGGGACAGGAACAGAGGCATTTCGAAACGGAGCAGAAAACAGGCTCGAGCGCACCTAGGGCCCGACTGGTAGCGGTGGCAACGGCGGCAACCGCGGGACAGGGGTCGTGCCCCACAGTCGCGGGGTCCTGTGCGCGAAGGGGCTGCGAGGCGGGTCCGCTCCACCGCGAGCCCGGACAGAGCGCGCGGAGGCTCTCGCCGAGGTGCGGGGCCCCGAGGCCGGGAGGCACCCACCCGCCAGCGCGTGGGCCTTGCGTACCTGAGACGGCCTCCTGGCTTCCCTCCACTCCTGGGCCGTCCCCGACGCCGCCCGCCGACCCTCGGCGGGCTGCGGCACTCCAAAAGCCCGGCCCCTCAGACGCCAGGCGGTCCGACATCTGCAGCCCGCGCGGGGATCTTCTGCGCCGCCAGCAGCTAGCGGCTCCGGAAACAGCCGAAGTCCTGGCGAGCGCGGCTGCGGCGAGCCGAAGAGCCGAGCGGAGCCCCGGGCCGGAAGACGCCGCGCGGCAGCCTTGAGAAGAGTTCGCCGGCCCTGGGGCCGCCGCAGGAACTCTGTTCCGCGGAGGCAGCGACGAGGATGCAAGCAGAGTTACGCTTGCTTTTGGCGGCCAATCTTTAGTCAGGGCTTGGAAGAATGATCAAAACCTGGAGAATATTCAGGAAGACAGTACCGGAAACAGTGGTATCCATAGAGACGCTGTCGGAAGTTAGGGTTGCTAAGAGGCCTGGGCGCGTCGGCTGAACTGCATAATGTCTCAAATCCCAGAAGATCACTATTCTGACCTAGATGAAAATGAGAAACCAGAACCTAGAATACTTGAAATGCCAGGACTTCGTAAATTGTCCGTGGATACCCAATCATACACTGCAGAGACAGGCGCAGAGCAGTTTTCTGAGACTGATGAAGAGGCACAGCCACTGGAGACTGAGGAAAAGAACTTTAAAGAGGAGGATCCAGAAAATGAAAAGAATATACAATTAGAACCAACCTGGACCTTTGAAGAAGAAATTCCCAAGGAGACACAAATGGACCTGTTTATTCAAGCCAAACCAGAGATTCCCCAAGCGTTGAAATCAGAGACACTGGGAGAAATGGAAGGCAAGCTTTGCAAGAATTTGAAGATCTCTGTGGATTAAAAGGGTAAGAAACCAGACCTCGAACCACAAGAGGAGGCTAAACCAGATGTCACAGAATGGGCTACAGAAACAGATACACGGTTACCAGTGGAAACCAAATTTGAGATTTCAGGAACCGCAACCAGTGAGACAAAATTAGAGTTACTACTAGAGGAGTCTGAACTGGAGGCTGCAGAGGAATCACTTAAAAGAAACAGATGTAGACCCTTCAGAGAAACAGATGAAGAAACAGATCTAGAGCCTTCAGAGCAGACGAAACCAGATTTTGCAAGTGGGAAATCAGGAAAATCAGTTGAAGTAGTAGATCTTCAGTTGCCCAAGATGACCAAACCAGAGATTCCAAAGGAGACACAATACAAGTCAACTGAAGAAAAAAAGATAGAGTCATCAGGGCAGACTAAACTACAGTTTCCAGACCAGAAACCAAAAATACTTGTTGAGAAAACAGACCTACAACCTTCAGAAGAGACTAAACCAGAGATTCCAGAGAAAATGCAAAGAAAGTCAACTGAGGAGATAGGAAGACACATTAAGCAAGAATTTCCTAGCTGGAAAACAAGAAAGTCAACTGAAGAAAAGGTTCCAGAACCACTGGAATCAGAATTTCCTGAGCAACAATCAGGAAAACCAATTATCAAAACAAGTCTAGAACTATCAGAAAAGACTACATCAGAGGTTACAAAGGAGACAAAAAGGTCAGATGAAGAAAAGATTCCAGGGACACAAGCAGAGACTAAATTAGTACAACCACAGGAGATCAAACCAGATGTTGAAGTGGAAACACGAAGAAAGTCAATTGAGGAGAAAGTTCCAGAGTCACTAGGGTATACTAAACCAATAGCTCAAAAAGAGAAGCAGAGAAAATCAAGTGAGAAGACAGGACTGGCATTGCCAGAGAAGTTGGAGTCAAAGAAAACGCTAAAAAACTCAGCCAAGGAAAAAGGCCTAGAGCCATCAGAACAGATTGAATTGGAGTTTCCAAAAATGAAACCAAGAAAACCAACTGAGGAGACAAGTCAAGTGCCACTACAGATGATCAAATCAGTTCAAGAGAAGAGACAAACAGAGTCAACTGAGGAGAAAAATCTAGAGTTACCAAATGAAGCCAAATCAAGAGAAACAAGGAAATTTGTAAAAGAAACCGACAAAATTAGAAACAGTGAGGCATTAGATTCTCACAGAGGAAGTGAAGTAGACTCAGATAGTACACATTATGGGAAATCTCAAGAATCCTCAAAACTCCTTGAATTTGATTTCAATGAATATATAAACTTACGTTCCTCAGAGTCTCAAATGGAATTAAAAGAGTCCTTTAATGAGAAGAAAAGTATAAATTTACATGAAGAGTTGGAGGAACAGGTACCTAAAGAGGAAGAATCCAGGCCCAAAAAAGTGAAGGAGCCACAGTTTGAGTTTCTTAAATGGAGCCCAGAGCAGGTTGCAGAGTGGATTAGCCAGCTAGGCTATCCTCAATACAAGGTATACAAAACTAACTTTTGAAATCTCATGCTTTCAGCCTACTTAATTTCCTCTACTCTGACTTGACCCTTTGCTTCTTTTTCACTAGAAGTATAGAAAAGTCCTGGACACTGGAGGAAGTAACTTGGAATTGGAGAGAGGTTCTGGGAATCAAACTCAAGGCCTTGTACATGTTAAGTGTATACCCTACCACTGAGCTAAACCCATAGCCTGTCACTGATACTAATTTTGGCCTTGCCTCATGGATATTTGTATTTGGGAAGAAAAAGAGGGTCACATATTTGTTTCTCCTAATAATCCCAGGTATTACACTTCTCTGCAGCCCTTTAATAAAGGCTAAGAAATTTGTATAGGCTTCTTTTCATAGAAAACTATTTTGTCCACCATCGACTTTCTGGTAGTTTGTCAAGTTATTTTAGAGGCAACTCCCTTACCTTAAATTTCTACTATTAATCTTAAGTACTTGCCCCAAATATGTCAGGTATCACAAAGCAGGTAAGAGAACTAATAGTTTAGCCAATTAACTTGAAATAGTTTTATCAAAAAATACTGTAATCATTTTAATTTGCTGGCTGTAATGTGATTTTAGGCTACCATATAAGATTTGCAACCTTTTGTACTTCCTGTACTAATAATGTAACTGGACGAGACATAAAGCAGGGCTGAGGATGTAGCTCAGGGGCAGAGCACTTACTTGGTATGTACAAGGTCCTGAGTTCAATCTCCTGTACTGAAAACAAACACCATGAATTCTATAGCATGCAGAAGAATTTTTAAGTAGTAGCATAAAGTTTAACCAACTAGCTTTTAGAAAATAATATCATTAAGGCACAAAATAACTTTTTCTCAGCATAAGTTGGAAACCATGATTCCTTTCCATCCTTTTTCTTTCCCTCTCTTCCTTCTCTTTTCTGTCCTCATTTCAGTACATTTTAAAGTGATGTTTTTGTACTGACAGGAGTGTTTTACTGCAAACTTCATCGGTGGCAATAAACTCATCCATGTAAACTGCTCAAACCTCCCTCAGATGGGAATAACAGATTTTGAGCACATGAAGGTGAGTCATGTACAAATGCTGCCATCTGTTTCTTTTTCTTCCAGTCCTGTTTCTATCTGTGGTGTCATTGCACTCAAAATCCCCCAAGTTCACAGTGGTTGCTGTCTCTTCTTTAATCCATACAAAGATTCCAACAACTGTCACTTCCTTTAATGGTATTTATGTGATCTGTTTTTCTCCATGCCCACTTTCTGCAATTGCTCCCTTATTTAACCTCTGCATGGGCCCTTGGGATTCGAAGGCTCTGCTTTTAGTCCTTCACTAAAATACTATTCAAAAACCTTCGGATATCTTCGCTTACAAGACTAATGTCCTCCACAAGTTTTCTTCAGCCACCTTTCCCTTCTCTGTGAGAATCTTCTGCTCCAGCATATCAAGTGTAACCCCCAGTATCACAGACTTGTCTGGTGCATACCTCCCTCTGTGTCTTTGCTCAGTTCTTCTTCCTCTGTATTATTAGTAGGAATTGGAATTATCCCTCAGAACCAATTCCTTATTCTCATCCCCCAAGTTTTCCTACCTTGCCATCCTATAATAATCTTTCTTCCCACTTTCATAAGGTTTTACATTTCTGGTACCCATTTAGCACTTACATTATAACACCATATATATTTTGCCTGGTCTGTTGCTTAACTTTTAAACAGGTTACATTAACTTTGGGTCTCATATCTGTGGCACTAGCAGTCCAAGATCTCCTCCCTTTGCTTAACAGTAACCTCCATTGCTGGTGTTTTGCAATTTACAAAGCATCCCAATCACACTCTCATGCGTAACCTTTCCTCTGGCACTCTGACGCCAACATGACAGGGTTCACTTACTATACCCAGGCCCATCAATGCTTTATCTCAGTGGTTCTGAGTGTGGATAATAGTCTCAGAAGCAGATGAAAGTTGTTTTTGTTTTTGTTTTAAAGGTAGATTCTCAAGCTTGACCTCCAGAGATTTTAGTTAATTAGGCCTATAGTAAGCTCTGGAATCTGTTCCCTGGGACTTTAAAGCAGGTTTTTAAACCCTGTAACTCCATACAGCATCAGGTTTGGAAAATAAGAAAACTATACTTGGTAATATTCAAGTCTTTTTATTGGCAATGATATATAAGGAATTTCTTTAAATTATTAAATACAGAGACCTAATTGAACATTTACTACTGAATTCTGCTAATAGTTATTCTCCATACATATGTCATTTCACCTAGTCCTCATTTTACAGAAGAGAAAACAGACCCAGAAAGGTGATGCAATTTATAAAAGATAATTTAGGTAATAGCTAGGGAAGCCAGTCTATTCTATGTGACTTTCCAATCCATGTTCTATTTAAATCACTGTACTATTTTGCCTTTATAGATCAATATTCTTATAGCCATAAATGTCTATATACATAATGTAGGCAGGTACATGTCTATATACATAATATACCTATTAAATACAGTATTTCCAACCATGCCCTCACATAGCTATCAAGTACTGCCAGATAAGTATTTTACTCTTTTTATGTTCAGAGATGGTACACTGTATTTATGAACTCTAACTTTTTTTTTTTTTTTTGTCTTTTTGAGACAGGGTTTTGCTATGTAGTTCAGGCTGGCCTCACTTTGTAGCCCAGGCTGGCCTTGAACTGTCAGCAGTCCTCCTGCTTCAGCCCCTGAGTGCTTATGAGCTCTAATTTCTACCTAAGAGTATACTGAATATTCTAAATAAAAATAAAGCACAGAATTAACAAAATACTTGTAACTCAAACTCTTGATTTAAGCACCAAGAATTTCAGCTCTGTATCATATGAAATTTTTTTGAGAGTCTGCCAATTAATTTTGCTCTTTTGACATTCTAATTCCAAATGTACAGTATCAATATACAATAATAAAAATTTGCATTATGCTTTTTCTGCTCTTGCAAGAAATGAGGTCTTAGAAGTCCTCTGAAATCCTCAAGAATTGAGGATAAAACTCCCAGTCTAACCTTGTATCCCAAGAACTTTAAGCAAACTTTGAGATTCTTATTATCAGTCACCAGACAAATAAAGTCTCTCCTTGAAATCAATAGAGTAACATTAGGAGATTTACATTTAGAGGTATGTTACATAAACATTACTGGACACTTTGTTTCATATTTAAAAAGTAGTTATACTCTAAGACATGGATATTTTTCTAGAAATCGTATATGAATTAAGTGTGCTGTAGTTATCTTCTTTATTGCTGTAGGAAGCATTTTATTTGTTTGTTTGTTCTTGTATTGCTAGGACATGTAATGTGCTAGGTAAGTAGTCTACCACTGAGCTGCACACCCAGGCTATATAAAACATATTTTTATGCCACTGTTGTAATTACACCAAGTGATACATCCACAATTTGCCCCATAACAACATAAATAAGTCCATCTTATTTATTTTAGAGAAAAACTAAGTAAAAAAAATTACATTTGGTTTATCTTTCTCTCTTAGAAAATAATTCTCAAAATATCCACTAATTATATCAAATGAGAAAAAAGAATGCTGTGGTAAATATTTGCAGAAAATAGATGAGTTGTTTATTCATTTTGTATGCATGAATGATCTTATAGTCTAAAGTGTAGCTTTACAAACTACAATATCTCAGCAATTTTGCTCTCCTTGCCTTGCTGCAAATTATTTAAGCAGCACAAATTTATAACATGTCAGCAATTGAGACAGACCTTAATTTAAAATTTTTTTGTTTTGTAAATAATTTCAGTTTAACAACAGAAGAAGTGCAAGGACAGTACAATGAGTTTCTGTATACTTTTTTTGCGGGGCGGGGGGAATCAAACTCAGAACCTCACACTTGGCATGCAGGCACTGTATTGCTAAGCTATATCCTAGCCCTCCGTGTACTCTTAACCTAGATTCCCCAATGTTAAAATTTTATTTAACTATGGTATATTCATTACAAATAAGAAGTTACCTTTGAGCTAACATTGTATTATTAACTGATGAACTTTATTCAGATTCTGCATTGTTCCCAAAGATGATAATATTTTGTTCCAGGATGTAATCGGGAATACTACACCGCACTTAGCTGTCTGGTTTCACTGTTCTCTTCTAGTATGTGATGGTTTCTTGATCTCTCTGTGTTTTCATGATCTTGACACCACAGCCTCCCAAGTAGCTGCCGGGTCTACAGGTGTGTGCTGGCTTCCTCTCTATACAGTCACACTGTTCTTCCTCATTTTGCTCTTCAGAAATGAGTAACCAACTCTAGGCCATATTCAGGAAGAGGAGAACTTCTCTTCTTGGAAGAGAAGACTGTCAGAGTTTAGATATACGGTACAATTACTACAGTGATAAATAAACTGGGGAAGTCAGTTTGAAGTTACGCAAACATCCTGTTTAGAGTTTTAGCCGCTAATTTTAGCATTCATCAGGTGGTCTTGACTACTCAATTTCTGCTCTGCTGTCTTAATGATAATTTTCTATCTTTCATTATTTCTATATTTAAATAGGACTCTTCTGTAAGGAACTCTTTTATACTTAATTGTCCCTTTTCCCTTATTTTTAATCTATTTAGGCACTTACATCAGTATGAACTTATGGACATTTATTCTTTGTGTTATAACCCAGTATTATTGTTGTTTTCCTTAAATTACAGTATTGCATCTTTGACAATTGTGAGCTCTTTTTTTTCTTTTCTTTTCTCTCTCTCTTTTTTTTTTTTTTGTACCAAGGATGAACTCACCACAGGCTCCTATATCATTTGAACATGCCCATTTTTTAAAAGGCATTTCCCTACTTCCTGACACTGCAAGTAGCTTCCGGCTTATATTGTATTTTCCTTGCTGCAGTCCCAGAATCAATCATGTGTCCAGAGAATACTGGTCGATTCTTATAGAGAATAGTATTTAGAAACCAAGATTAGGCACTAGTTGTGTTTGTTACTGTTCTAGGCACTGTCAGCACACGGATCTAGGAAATATGTGTTATATACTCACCCATATGTACACAAATGTCTGTTTATTTTTTATATCCATATATACATATATTAAAATAATCAGGAGTTCATATTCATTTCTCTGACTCTAGTCCAGCCTTGCAGGGTATATTCTAATTTTCTCATCATCCCTCCTGTCTCCAAATCCTCTTGCTTATTTATAACTTCTTTTTCTGACAGTGAGAAATCTAGCTCTCTTATCTATAAATTCTTATACGAAACAAATGCACCATAGGGTACATTGTTTGCGTACAGTTCTTTTTGTCTTTAGCCTCACAGTATCTAGAAAAAAGTACTGTTTTCTAAAGTTAAGGGGGGCTGTGGATTTAGCTCAGTGGGACAGCGCCTGCCTGGCAAGCCTGAGGTCCTAAGTTTGATTCCCAGGACCCCCAACCCCAACACTTACACACAAAAGGCAAAGCTAAGTTAATTAGGTTAGCTTCTGTCTCTTCCACCTTCTCCAAGGAGATTGTGTCCTAGTTTGTAATACAGTTGGATTCATTTATCCACAGCCTATATTCTGCTCCATCCTGGATTCCCCAACACTCTGGATTTCTAATAGCTTTCATATAGTAAAATAATTCTTTGTTTGTTATAGTTCAGTGGGTTTTAACAAATTCTGTCACCCTAAAACTTCTCCGTGTCTCTTTGATAGCCAACCCATCCCTCCACACTAATCTCTGGAAACTACTTATCTATTTGTTCCAGTAATTTTGCCTTTTCTAAAATATCACATATACGTCAGATGTAGTGGTGCATGCCATTAATCCCAGCACTTGGGAGGCTGATGCAAGAGGACTGCTGCAAGCTCAAGGCCAGTCTGGACTACATAGTGAGACCCTGTTTCAAAATAAAACAAAAAAATTAATTAATTAAAAAAATAAAATATTGGGGCTGGGGATTTAGCTCAGCAGCATAAGCGCCTGCCTTGTAAAGCAGGCAGTTGTGAGTTCGATCCCCAGTACCGCTAAAAAGGAAAAAGACAAAAATAAAATAAAATAAAATATTGCAAAACATGGTGGTGCACCCCTAGGATCCCCGCACTCTGGAGGTTGAGGTAAGAG